ATTGCTTATACAATTTATATATACGTGTGAGTCCTCCCCTGACGGCCTTATGACCATGAGAAAAGCCTGTTTAAACATATAAATCCAGATTAAACTACATATTGTCAAATAATATAAATAAAGGCAATTTATTATTATTATTATTATTATTAATTACCATTAGATAATTAATCAGAGGATTAGCGGATTACTTGGTTCACCAATGATTCAAAAGAATGTTTTATATCAGTATTTAAATAAATAATTGAGTTGTTTTTCTTGGACTTATTATGCTTCTTCCGATCGATGACAACGTGCAACTTGCGTAGACATTTATAACGTGTCGATTTGTTTTTATCGCTTACTTGTCTGTAAAAATCTGTTCAATCGGTTTTATTTGGTTTCTAAACATATCAAGCGGTTCATTCAAAATTTTGGTGTAGTTGTTAAAAAATATGGAAAAATTGCGTTTAGGTGGTTGGGAATTTCATATTGTTTAATCGATAATTAAATTAATTAAATACTCCGCTGCTCGAACGGGTTGATATTGTTTGAAATAAAATACACTAGGAATTCAGTCATGTGTGTAAATTAAACCCCGAGGGTAAATAAGCATCAAGACCTTCAGATGTCTCCACCAGCTTTTAAAGGCAATTTAGAATAATGCTTTGAATCGAACCCTTCTTTAAAGCTCCCCGGTGGTTATTTTTCGTGAGAAATCCTTTTTTTGAAGGCAGGATTGGTAATGTCATTTGATTTTGTTAAAAAGTTTCGACATCTTGTTAAAACAAAAAATCACTCTTTTAAAACATCGACTTGGTCTCGTAAAATAATCAACTCGTAAACCGACAAGCAAACAGAGACCGCCAATCATAATAATAATTTGCGAACGAAAGTATTTACAACAATTGAAATTGTCGTTCATTATTAAGTATTAATTTTGCTAGCATTGAAAAAAATCTGTTCTCACGCTTTTAGTTTAAAACTGAAATGACACTTGTGTGTATCCGTTTGAATGATAGTGAAGTACAGAAATATAACGAATATTAAGTAAGTATTAGGAATTAAGTTGCCAATTTAACACTATATCACAACTCTCCCTCTCTCACTCTCTCTCTCTCTCTCTCCCACACACCCAGACACACAGATAGACGCACACACTACACTACACGGCATCGACATCCAGCGGATCGCAATGCCGCCCCACAGCACCCTCTGGCAATGATTGGCGATGGCTTCTAAGACCGGTAAACCAAGCCCCTTATGCAATGAAGGAAATATAATACGCGCGCGGGCGACATTCATACACACACAATAAGCTTAATCAATAATTGTTTATTTTATTCGAAACATTTCTAAAATCTTATTTTTTAACGCTTTTGTTTTCATTATCACTTTCGGTTTACTAACATATTTCATTTATCCAAATTAATCCGTTGATACCATAAAAACGTATTTTATTTATCTATTTTTCTTTCTTTCTGTAATATCTCGAAACCAAATCAAAGGTAGTACTAATTAATTTGCTTGTTGGTTGAATTTGTATTAATTTGTAATTAAACACGTGCAATCGATTAAGGGAGCGGTGGTATAAATAAACGCCCTCACTATATGTGGCAAAACACACACACACACACACACACACACACACACACACACACACACAATCTCTCTATCTTTCTATCCGTCTATCCATCCATCTATCTATCTATCTATCTATCTATTTATATTTGTCTATCTATCCACTTATTTATTTATCTAACTATAAATGCATCTCTCTATTTCTCTCTCTCTCTCTCTCTCTCTCTCTCTCTCTCTATATATATATATATAGAGAGAGAGAAAGAGAGAGAGATACAGAGACAGGCATATATATATATATATATATATATATATATATATATATATATATATATATATATATATATATATATATATATATATATATATATATATATATATATATATATATATATATATATATATATATATATATATATATATATATATATATATATATATATATATATATATATATATATATATATATATATATATATATATATATATATATATATATATATATATATATATATATATATATATATATATATATATATATATATATATATATATATATATATATATATATATATATATATATATATNATATATATATATATAAGTGTCAGCTTAAGTAGGATTCACTAGGACAGTATTTTATTCCTAGATTTGATTTAAAGTGATATTCGAAGCCATTTTCTGGAAAGAAATATGTATTATACAAACGTACAATGTTAATAAATAAAAAAACACATTCTTTAAAATGTGCCAAATATTCATCTAGTATATATTTAAATGTGCTTCATTGGCAAAGTTATTATCATTTGTGTCGGAAACAACGTGTCTCTTATGTTTCGACGACGGGGAAAGCTGCCCACTCGAAACATCGTGTGCAAAGTTTATGGTTTGGCACAATGGCTCTTTTCCTTCTGATTCCCATGGAAATCTTACCATTTTACTCTCATTTATCCTGTGGAGCTTCTACTTGAGAATAAATTGTTTTTTGTCCCTTGATTTAGTAAATGGTGTTAGTTTGTGGAGTGAAACGATAAAAGCTTTTTTTGTCAACAATTCAACATCCATTATCAGCAAGCATAATAAAAAGCTCATATTATCATTGTTTAAACACAATTATCCAATCATTAATGATAGCTGTATTCTGAATCAAAGCCAAACATTCATATTTGTTAAATAAGTGTTTGTTTATTATTGAATGAAAACAAGATTTGTCTGTGTCACAGTTTTTGGCTTAAAGATTTTCACTAACATGGAAGATTTCGGACGTGACATCACTGATTACAATGACACTTTTTGATTTTATCACGTCGAAAAATAATAACAAAAATAGTCTATTTGTTTAACTCCAAGCAAAATTCATTTCTTTAAAATTGTATACTGTTGTAAAGTGTGAAGAATGATAGAGGCGAAAAGAGAAAAAAAAATTGAAAATGCGTAGAGCATAATGAGTTTAGGCCAGAGATTTTGTTGTAAAAGATGGGGTAAAAATCCAAAATTAGCCTACTGGCTGTTTACAACAACGGTTAGACCTCTGATCTCATACGAAGCCCAAAAAGTTTGAAAAACTCACAAAATTTAATAACAAAAATTACAAAGATTGGCATGACTGAACATTACAAGGGCAAGGCATACTTGACAATTGAAGTGGCACTGGAAATACCATCGGTGGACACATGGATCGCATTCGAAATGACAAACAGGCTCCTGGGACACAATGAAATTAAAGCCTTAACCCAAGCCTAAAAAGCCTAACTAAAATCAGAAAAAATATACAAATAAATTTAATGACACAACGTCACAAACTCGTGAGTGTGTGTGAATGAATGAATGGGTTTGTGGTGGAATATAGCATGCCCCACAGACCCACCTAATTAGGTTAGTTTTTTAGGCAGAAGGGGGCAGCTCTAGCTTAATATCACATACTCCAATAACTCCCCAAATTTATTACACTGGACATTATTACTAGACAAATTGTATGAATGTATTTATAAGATTGAATGTGTATGATGTGTAGGCGGGCCTGTGGTGGAATAAACAGTACCCTAAAGATTTGATTAACCTAACAAAATTAAATATTATCTTAAACATTGTTTATTGTGTTTATTTTTTAATTAAGCGATTATATTCTTTTTTGAAATATACAATGTACAAAAATACAATTAACGTTTACAAAAAAATATAAAAAACACAACTAGATAACTGGATATAATAATAAGTAGTTCGAAATAATATAGTAAGTAAGTTTTAAAGTTTATTACAAGTAACATACAACAAACAACTTAATCTAAACTGCGCATAAATGAGTAGGGATAGTTATAAATTATTCTTATTCTATTAATTTTAATTAAATTACGCGATATATGCTTTTTTGTTGAATAGAAAAAACAGAAAATAATAACCAAAAACAAAAAAATTGTTAATCCACATTTTACATCCTAAATGTACTTGTTAAATGTAAACAATGTTTGTAAATCTCAGACTCTGAAGATGATCTCAATAAAGATCGAAACGTTGGCACGATAAAGAAAATGTTTTTCTGAAACCTATCACACCAGACCGCATCTCACGATTTCTGAATAAAAATTAATAATCTTCATATATATTATTCTTAAGTAAATTCGTTATTAAAAATGTGGATTAACAATTTTTTAAATTTTTGGTTTATATTTTCTATTTTGCTTTATCCAGCTAACAAGAATATATCGGTTAAATTAATCAAAATTAATAGAATAAATTAAAAATATCCCTATTAATTTTTGAAAATACCTGCTTTTTTGGCTGTCAACACTCATCGGCTTTCGCTTCCCGGTAGCTGAGCAGTCATAAACATTTTTTTGGAATATTTTAGGTATCGAATGTTGACCAAAAAAAAAAAGTTTTTTTCTATCAAGTCGTTGACTCAATACTGTTAATCTAGTAAAAGTGTGTTTTTATATTCTCTAATTTCGTGGTCTGCTTGACCAATTAATATATTACAATTAATTAAGGTTTTTAGTTGAGATAAAGAAGTCAATGGCACGAGCGGGATTCGAACCCACGATCTTCGGCTAGATACGCCGCTGCTCTACCACTTGAGCTATCGTAACCTCGATCCACTCGGACACTAACTTCCCATCTAAACCCCAAGATCGTTGGTTCGAATCCCGCTCGTGCCATTGAATTTTTTATCTCAACTAAAAACCTTAATTAATTGTAGTATGTTTTTATGTTTTTTCATGGTTAAAAAATTACAATCACCAAACCAATTGGAAAATATGCAATTTTGTGGAGTAAACCGTAAAAATTTTCAGTTTCTTGCAAAATAAAAATTGTGTCAATAGAACGTCCTTTTCATGATTCAGAAATCCAATCTTTACTTATGACGTTGGACGGATTTGATTCAAATTATTTGAATTCGTTTTTAAATATCGCTTTAACGTTGAACGCACTTTTTGTTTCAGATGCTTTTATCGGTCCAGTTTGCGATTATGTCATTGCTCCAGTTAGTAGGTACTCAGGGGTATGGAAGATACCGGTAATCACAGCAGGCGGGCAGGCGAACCATTTCCAATACAAGGACGAAGAGTTTCCGACCCTCACCCGAGTCATGGGATCATACAGGTGAACACAACTACACTCGGCCCAACACAACTTTATAATTACTTATTTGAATCTTGCCGACAGATCCATCGGTGCTGCCATGACCGTCATACTGTCCAACTTTAATTGGAAAGTGGTCGGCTTGATTTACCACAACCATGGTTTAAATTCGTCCAAGGGAAACTCGAAATGCCATTTCATGCTTGCTACTGTGTTCACCGCACTCGGGCAAAGTTCGATGCACAGGAGCTTCAACGATTCCGCGACCCCGAATGACTTCAAAAACCTGCTTCTTCTCGTTTCCAAATCCGCCAGAAGTGAGTTTTTCCTAAATAATTTTACACAAACTGCACTGTGAGGAAATTTAAAAACTAAAACAAAAAACTTAAATTGTTAAATAATTTTTGAAGTCATTCAAGATTAATATTGATGATAAGAGGTTAGAAAATGTATTTTGTTTATATACTGGCACTTTTGCATGTTACTTTAGTAATGTTATGCAGGTTGGTGGGCCTAGCAACGATCTGCTTCCGGTGAGTGCATAATCGCATGACCAATGCAAAAACCAATTTTATCCCTTTATCCGTTTTGATGTGCTCTTTAGTTGTTGATATTGTTTGTTAGTTTGCTAATCAATGTTTGGCCACATCGTAGTGTTTGTCCCCTTTGTCTAAATTTGATGAAATGAAATGAGAATTTGATTAATCTTGGAGAAAATAGTTTTTTCCGTGAAGAAAACTTGGTTATTTGTCTTGTAAGAAAATTGGATTTATCGACTTTAACAGGTTTTATTTATAAAGACATTTAAAAAAAATCTATTTGAAATACGTTGGGGTCAAATTCATTGCCTTAATCGTGGCCCCCACAAGCGCCATTTAAAAGTAAATTTAAAATCATGTTTTTTAAGAAATAAGAGAAACTGCCCTGACATAAATCAATGAGCAATTAGTAAATATCTGTCAATTTATTTAGCTAATACTGGGGTCCACGGTGGCCGAGTGGTAAGGGCGTCGACTTGTCCAAGTCGTACGTCTCTATCTACCTAGAAACGACCAACTGCTGCTAGTGACAAGGTTGCCGACCAATAGTCTATTTTCTGCAGTCCAGAAAAAAGCTATAAAAGCCCGCAATGACATTTGTAAAAATTCTTGAAATGGACGAACCAGAGGCAAGGAAAGGAAAATTTGAATAGGCAGTTTTAAATTAACTATATAGGTATACTTAATTAAGGTTTTCAGTTGAGATAAAAAAGTCAATGGCACGAGCGGGATTCGAACCCACGATCTTCGGCTAGATACGCCGCTGCTCTACCACTCGATCCACTCGGACACCAATCTCCCATCTCAACCACACCTTTTGAATTTCCCCTTCTTTTTGCCATTTTTCAAAAGTCGTGTAATCAATTTGATTCTCGGCGACAAATGAAATGGCCACGGAGAGCTTTAGTGAAGTATACTTCATTTAATTAATTAAATTCACTAATTTCGTGGTCCGCTTGACTAATTAATATATTACAATTAATTAAGGTTTTCAGTTGAGATAAAAAAGTCCATGGCACGAGCGGGATTCGAACCCACGTTGAGATTGGAGGTTGGTGTCCAAGTGGTTCGAGGTCACGATAGCTCAAGTGGTAGAGCAGCGGCGTATCAAGCCGAAGGTCGTGGGTTCGAATCCCGCTCGTGCCATTGACTTTTTTATCTCAACTAAAAACCTTAATTAATTGTAATATATTAATTGGTCAAGCGGACCTCGAAACTAGTGAAATTATATAGGTATATTTGGCCCCTCGTTGGCCACTTCAAAGCATAGTCCAATGAATGGCACAAGTTCATCAGAAACCATGCCGCACATTAATTATGTAGCAATATATGAAAATATTTTGGATACACAAATATATAATATTTTAATTTGTCACATAATCCAACCCTACACGGAAACTACCAGGGTTCACTGATGACTAAACATGTTTTACTGCAGTGTGGTTTGACATTGCTTCCGTCACATTCAGTCACAATCAAATATTTTCTTTCGGCTTGTTTCAAACAAATTCCGGTGTGTTCTGGGCGTTAGCGTTTATACCTAATTTACATCAGATTTGACCCAAATGTATGGATTTCCGCATAATTTCAATACAAGGATAATTGAGTAGAAGTTGTATGAATATACTACAACGATGAGTGCACGAGCTTTTTTATGTTGTATTTTTATTAAGTAAAAAAGTCACCTATTTTTTGAGACGGGCTTAGCATACCTAATCTACATCAGATTTGATCCAGATCTAAAAGGATTTCTGTATAAACTAGAATACAAGGCTAAGCAGGCCAAATTACTTGAATATTATCCAACGATCAGTGATGATTGATCAACTTTGATTTTGTTAAAATTAGCCTTGGGGGGGGGCTTAGCGTTTTTCTTAATTTACATGAAATATGATCTAAATGGGATCGGATATAACTGCAAGGCTAATTAGCAGGGAAAATAATTTGAATATATTAGTACGATGAACGCACTTATATGAATAAATAAATGAAATCCATAAGCTGATGGCACTTGAAAATATTTTAGGCTTAGAAATGCGGGATCGTGGTGGCAGATTCGTAAGCGGGACTTGAATTGCTACACTAGCGGTTCTTGGTTCGAATCCCGGCAGAGCTCATGGGTTTTTAATGGATCATATAGCATGAGTAAAGTATTGTAATGTGATTCGACCTCCTCTCGTTCATGATCGGTAGTTGGTTAAGCCCTTCTGTATGCCTGGAATTACTAACTTAATTGGTCAATACAAAAACATTTGCTTTCTTGTGCCCTTAAGTAACAGTAGGCAACTGTATAATTGAAGGAACACGTACCCATTAACATCCCAAACCAGATTATAATCAAAGTTGGTCAATAACTGAACAACCTCTTAAGTAACACAACATATCAAATAGTATTTTTTCTCTTTGTTTTTAACTAATTACAGTTAATTATTTACAAATTATGACAACATTTTTATTATAAAGGTTGAATATTTCAAATCATACCTCAGTCAAAACGGGTCTATTGGGCTTGGATGAAACCGATCACACCTGTAACTTCATTCAGTCTCAATTGCACTCCTCATTCGGACAACAGATTCAGACCGAGTTCATGGGAGGCGTGACAATGCGAGAGGCACTCATGAATAAATTTCCATCGCACACCGTGAAAGGAATCCAGAAGTGAAATATGTTTAAAAGCTGCCGGATCTCCCTGGGTCTTCTTCTGGTCACGAGGAGAAGAAAAACCTTCTTATTTCTTAATAAAAATGGATGGGCGGGTTTGCGTATATGACGTTATATACAATTTTTGTATTTTATTCAAATGCCGTTTTTAATATCGCTCACGGGTAAATAAGTTATGGCACGATTTTGACCTGAATATAGTCATACTTGGCTTGTATGTTTATGTTACAAACTTTTAAGTTTCAAGTAAAATAAATTTCTCTCTCATTTATTTTGTTCTATTATTTTTATTATTATTAACTTTATAACCTCTATATGAGTCTTACTATTATAATTGTATAAAATAATCAAGAGTAATTTGAAAGAATGAAAAACACTCAGTTATTTCGTCATGCTGGAATATATCCACTTTATCATGACTTTGAAGCAATTTCTAACCATTTACACAGTTAGCAGATTTAAACATCCACTTAAAATGTTAAGAACTGTGGCTACAACCTTAATGAATATGCGAGTTTAGGCTACGTAGTGGATGAGATCTAGTGAAATAGTTATAAAAAGAATAAAGTGAAATTACAGTAAATAGTAAAGCTAAATAAATAACAAGAACGGGAAAAAACATCACCAATACTACTATAATGCAAGCATTCAAGAGCCAGATGCAATTCATTTATCTATAAGGAAAACAAAATTGGGCTCCGAAACCCATTTTGGCGAACCCCACTTCTTGCAATAAAAAATCTGAGGGTACAATCTTTTCCCTCATAGCAGCCGATCTATAAGAGATTTCTAATATAATTTGTTTTGTATTAAAGCGAGTATTAAAATTAATTAATTCCATAACAAATAACTAAGCAAATTTAAAAAAATAGAAGAACTTCCCAAAAAAAGCCGGCGTCTTATTGACTTATTTATTTAACGCCATTTTGAGAACTACATACCTTCCCATACAGTAGAAACATTCTTACATTAAAATGATCCCAAAGCCCCATAAAAATTTAAGCTCCCAACCATCTTATCGTCTTATTAGTTTATTACCCGTTCCTTCTAAATTATGCGAAAAATTAATTTACAAAAGGATTATCTCTATTTTTATTTTTTTATTTTTTTTTACTGGGGCTTCCGACATCTAGGTCATTTCAGCCCCCAATTATGTCTATATTCTATTTACCCTTTAAAACACTACATTCATACAAATAAATACAATCATACACATAAGTACATCCATACAGTACACTCAATTATCTCTATTGCTACTTCAAACGTGCTCATCAACTTCACAGAGTTACGGATTTCATTACTTCCTGTCACGAGCAGAATCTGTAGACGACTGGAGTGTTTCTAGGTGTTTCTCAGGGCTTCGACAAAGTATGGCATGAGGGATTATTATATAAATTAAAATTAATTTTTACCCTAGGCATAATATATGCATATTATACAATCATATCTTAAGGATTTTTTTGCAGTCAACCAGGAGACGGAGACTTTTGCGATGGAGGATGTGCTTGTAGATGTGCTCCAAGGGTCAATACTCACTACGCTGTTGTACACAATTTTTACTTCTGATATACTCACAAATGAGAATACACATACCTCCATATGAAGATGATACCACCATATTAACAAGTCATCCCTCTTCTACACAAGCTTTAATTATGATGCAAAACCACATATCAACAATTGAAAAATGGAGCAATCTTTAGAAAATAAAGTTTAATCCCTAAAAGTCACAACATATCACCTTTACACTCCGTCGTGAGACTTGCCCTAGCATATACTTATAAAATGAACCTGTTCCTCAATCCGACAAAGTTAACTATTTAGGACTTACATTTGATAGAAGACTAGCTTGGCATCTACACACACGATTAAATCAGCTTAAAACAGACACTGATTAAACTATTTAAAATTGTTTATTACCTACACAACCTACAATCAAAATTACCATTAAAATCAAAACTTTCGATTTACACATACTTACTCAAACTTATTTGGATATGCCAAGTTAATGGATCGGCCAAATATTCCAATATTCAAAGATTACAAAGTTTTCAATCCAAAATTTTAAGACTAATTGTTTCTGCCCCTTTTTATGTAAACAATAACAGATAAAC